TAGCTTGATTCGGCCTGTAGTCCTAGCCTTGGGGTGCACCGCGCATTCGCCGAACTCTGGCAGCGGCTTGCAACGTCTGCGCCCCCTGGCATCGTTCGCGACGGGTTGCCCCATCGTTCCCGATGGTGAACTTGCTGCCCGGTGACGAGGCGCGCGATGCCATCCACGGCATTCGGCGGTGACGCACAATGTGAGCTCAACCGCATAGTATGCGCTGGCTACGTTTTATGTTGTTTTGGCTTGCCCCTGGGTGGTACTGGCAGTTCTTGCCGCTTCTCCACTGGCAGAGGTGTCGCCAAACGGGGCCGTCTCAACTCCCATCGACCTTGCCGATGGCGACATCGCTGCCGCCTGTAGCGCCGTTGCGGAAGACTCGCCGCCGCTCGCGAGCATAACTTTGCGGTGGCTGGTGAACTGCATCGTGTCCGTCGTAGCTCCGGCGGAGTAGCATCTTTATTCTGTCCGGCTTAGCCTAGTCACCCTGCAGCGCATGACCGCTAGTGGGTTGCCCGTTCCTGTTTCCCCACATTGTTTTGTTCGCTGTTTTTGTCGGGCGAGTATTTACTCCCGCGCCGCGAATGATCGGCGAATATCACTGGCATTCCATCATGATCGGTCCTGTCTCTCATTGCGTGAGCCCTCCTTGCCGCTTTGCCTCGCGCGCAGCGGGGTCGCCAGTTGCGATGCGGTAAGTGGGTGGCGTCGCGCGCTTCTACTTCTGCCGTGCTATAGCTATGGTCGCATGTCATTTTTCCGCTGCATGAGCTCCCCAGTTACAAACGCGTCTGCTACCTCGTTCCTATGTCTTTAAATTGCACTAGCGTCCTCACGGCGATCTCTGCCTTCCTCCTGCTCGACGTTGGCCCCTATTGTCTGATTGCTGGGTCTTGCCGGGCCTAATGGAATAAGCTCTCCTGGATGAGTCCCTGCCTCGGATGGCCCTCCTCGTTGCCCTCCTCGCTCGCGCGCTGGGGCGGATTCCCGCCGTTGCCCGTGGGGGCCCTGGGCCGCGGATCTCATGTCTGAGGCCTTGCGTTCTAGATGCCTGCGCGATCGGCCGTGACTGCCCCTTGCCGATGCGATCCTGTTACCGCTTCTACCGTTTCTCATGCTGGTCCCAGCGCGTTCTTCCAGCGACCTGCGTCGGCGTCGCGACTTTGCCCCGCCCGTCGCCCTGCTCCATGGCCCTTTCGCGCCGCGCCGCTGGCCGCGCTGCGGCGCGGCTCCATGGGGGCTGGGCGCCGGCGCCGGGCGGCCCGGCAGCGCGGCAATTCTCGAGCCCGCGGTTGCCGCGCCTGTTCCCGCGTGCGATGCGGGGCCGTTGCCTGGCAAGGCGTTCGCCTTCTTAAACGGGTCGCCCACGCCGACCAATGCCGTTTCTCGCCCGATCGCAGCGCGGCGCCCATCCCTCGGGCGCTTTAATTCTGAACACTTGCGGGAGGTTGTTGTCGAATCCCGATGCCATCTGCAGGCCGCGGGCAACCTCTCCGCGCCGTCCTGTGCGGCGTGGGCCGGAAGCGCGTGCGGAAGGATCTGGAATCGGAACAACTCTGCGCCGGAGTGCGGGGCCCGCCCGGGCCCCCGTTCCGTGCCGCCCAATCGTGCCCTGCCCCGTCCGCGAGGGCAGGGGGGGCTGGGGCGTGGGAGTGCAACGGGAAAAAACCAGGTAGCCGCATCATCCAGCCCCGCCCTCGCGAAGAAACGACCAAACAATTACTGCTTAAATCATCGTTGCCAGTGGCCAGCCCAGCGCTCCAAGCCCCACCTCCAAGGCGAGAGGCGCTGGCGCGACAAAAAGCATACCTACCCCGAGGGCGCGGAACGAAGGACGCAACAGCTGGCGATCCGCGTGCCACTCTATGCAAAACCAATGGTGACACACGTGCGTGTACAATAAAAGCGAACAACAGTCGAGCTCCGCAGCGGACAGCAGTCGACGCTGCGAAGGCAGCAGGGCCTGTCCCCAAAAAGACGGAAGTGAAGAACAGGCCTCGACGACGCTTGCAATGGAAACCTATGTCAGAGACAGTGGTGCAGGAGGGCGCGCATCGAAAGACACGGCTGCATGCGCCCCTCTGGCCAGCAAGGATTCCACGCAGAGCAGATGTGGAAAGACGACGACGGCGACGACGACGACGGGGAGAGAGGCGCACCTCGCTGGCCAGACACGCCGGATGTTAGCCCATAGAGGGCCGGATGGCATGGATGGGCAAGTCATGCTTAGAATGCGAAGCCCATTGTAGCCGCGAGCCTCGCGACCCTGAAAGCCCGCGGAGATCCCCGCAGGCGCGGCCCGCGCGACACAAATGGCCATGAAGCTATGAGATCGGTTGCCGCTGTCAATCGTGCACGTTCCCGCTGCACGCGCTGATCGCGTTCCTCGTGGGGCCCCGTGGAGGTGATCTCTCCCAGCGTTCTGAACGCTTCGTCCACGGCCCCCTGTCGCGTGCCCCCCCCCCCCCCAGGTCGGGCCCGCCCCCCGCGGGCTTTCAGGCGGGTCCGACCCGTCCAAGGTTGCCTCGTGGCAGCCGGGGTCCGTTTCTGGATGTGGTTGTCCGATGCTATACCCGCCGTAGTTATTGCTTGTCTGCCCTCCTTCGTGGCCACCTTGGTGCAGCTTGCTGCGATGTGTCCTTCCTAGCCACGTTTGCAACGTTCTCGATCGCTCGTGGACGCGTGTCCTTTTTGCTGCGGGGCTTGCCGATAAATGCGGTTCGCTGGTCTTCCTGGCCACGTATGCCTCCGTGGCTTCCTCTGCTGCGTTCTTTCGGCCCGCTTGGGTAACCTTTGCCTTCGCCGTTGTTTTTCCCTTCCCCCGTGGCCGTGCGCCCCCGCGAGAGGCGGCCTTTTCTGTTATAGTTGGAACAAGTCATTTCGCGTGCTTCCTCTTCCTCTGCTGGCCGCATTCGCATCTCCATCTCCTCAGCTTTGGTCTCCATTCCATTCAATGTTCCTTTCGCCCTCTGTAGGCCACCGGCCGCCTTCGTCGTCGCGTCGTCGCCCCCCATGCGAATGTCTGAGTCATCCCGCTCATTCTATTTACCAGCTCTCCCGAGGTCTATGGCATCGCATATCATGGTGTCAGCACCTAGTCGCATCTTGCGCGCCCAGTCCTTGCATCTGAGGTGCAGCTTCTGAAATGACTCGGCGGAAAAATAACTCGGGAGTCTTAGCCATGTTCAAGGGAAGAGGCAGCTGGTGGGATGTACAATGTTCTCCAGATTCCCCCCTGATGCGCCCCGTTGTTCCAGTTGGGCCGAGGTGTCATTTACCTTCTGGAGCCTCTCGGGGGACATCGATGAGCTCATTTTGGCTGTACTGCAAAGTACCAATTCATCACTTTCTCTTGCCCGATGTAATAACCCTCGCGTTTCGATGCTCTCCAGCTTCTCCGTGAATGCGCGCCGCCAGCCGTCGTCCAGCTTACTGACCTCGTCCTCGTCCAGAGCATCCGCGTCTGCCCTTTGGTCTTCTTCTCTCTGTTTTTGTTCCAACGTGGCCCCGTTGTTCGCCGCCGCCGTCATTGGGCATGGTACCGTGCCGTCCAACGTTTCCAATTTCGAATTCGATGCCTTGATGAGCGCATTTTTGCTACCATTGTTGACCTACGCCATTGAGATCGGTGGCCGTCGTTCCATTCACGTAACTTCGTCCTGTCGACAGTGAAGCTCTTGGACGACTGGATGGCTGTGGACCCACGTGTGGGTCTCTGATGCATCTCGTTCTTGCTTGATCCGACCATATCTGCTATTTCTTCGAGTGCTGCGTTCGTTATCGTTTGTTGATCATTTTTGCTTAGGTTAGCCATTCGCGACTTCACACTTGCCGTTTCCATCTCGTGTCTGGTCTCACGGTTGTCTGTGCTCAACAGTGCTGCGTTTGTTTCGCCACACATTCTCATCAGTGGCATCGCGTGCTTGGTGGACAGCCCTTGGTTAACCTGAACGTTCTTGCTCGTCCAGGTTATTTGTCACTGCGTCGAAATTAGTGTGTGTGGCAAACTTGTTGAACTCATAGCCTGACTGGTTGTTAGCCGTCAGGCAGATAATCTCGAAACTGGTGCAGTTTTACTCGATCCATTCTTGCCTCGCGGTGGCTATCCGACTACTGGTCTCGCTGCCACAATTTCTTTCTGCGAACGTGATAATTTAACAGAAAAGGCGGTGGTTACGAGGATGGGGCACTCTTTTGTCTTAGAAGCAAGGCGAAGGTACCACATGGGTGTCGTGCCGCAGTAGCGCGGACTCAAACACGTGAGCCACACGCCAGCGGTTGCACCCTCCTTCTCCAACTCCTCCTCCTCCTCCTCCTCATCCTCCTACTCTGACGAAAGAAAAGGCCTCTTCCTCCTCCACCTCCTCCTCCTCCTCCCCCTTCTTCCTGTCCTCCTGGGGGGAACGATAAGAAGGGTACCAACACATGGGGGGGAACATCGAAGTTGAATCGGCGATGCATCGCCGATAGAGCGGCGACAGGCCGCTGATGCCGAAACCGCACGCTCCTGGGCGGGGTGGGGGCGGTGATTGGCGATGGATGGGCGGATTGGGGATCGGTGTTTCTCCCCCCTGGGCCAGGCCCCCCATGCAGTTGCCCCTGACTAGAGGAACAAGCAATGGCATCATCATATTCTGAGGTTCGCGCGGGTTTCTCGGATCGGCACTGGATGCCCTCCCATGGCGCGAGGAGCGCGCCAGAGGCGGCGCCGGAGGCGCCGCCAGGGGGCCCCAGCGCCGATCCGAGAAATCCGCGCGGACCTAAGAATTTGTACAGTTGGAGCTCGACCACAAGAAACCTTCCACAAGAAACCCAACCCTGAGACCCCAGGGCGTCCATAGATTTTTGGTGTGGGAGCGTCGCGCTTTCCACACCAGAACCTTCGAAACCCAAGAAGCCAAGGGCACCCTGGAGGCAAGCAGGGTGTTTCTTGGCATGGGTGTCCACTGTATGTTTATGCCATTGTTTGTTCTCCTACTGATCCTCCTGGTAAGGGAATCTGGGTCCTTCCAGCGCAGGAAGCCGTGCAGGAAGCCTGCGGGGGGCCCGTCGTCGCCCCGCGGGCTGAACAGGTCGTAGACCTGGGAGGTCGACTGCTTGTTTGCCTTTTGTTGCTGCTGCTGCTGCTGCTGTTGTTGTTGTTGTTGTTGTTGCTGTTGCTGCTGCTGTTGCTGCTGCTGTTGTCGTCGTCGTCGTCGTTGTTGTTGCTGTTGTTTTTGGTGGTTTCTCCAACCATCCTGTGGTGTTGGGTCTTCGTTTTGAAGAGACAGCGCCCCGCGTCACTCCCACCTCCTCCTCCTCCTCCTCCCGCTCCCATCCCAGCCTCCTCCTCTCGCTCCCGTCCCAGCCTTCTCCTCCTCCCACGTCCTCTCCCCGCCGTTTCCTCTTCCCATTTCAACCTCTGCCCTGCGCATGTTTTTGTTTCGGCATATCCTTCACACGCTTCGTGGCGCAATAACTAAGGGGGCTTCACCGAAGGCCCCAGAGGCGGCGTTCGCATGGCGGCGCCGCCCCATGTTGGCGCACCCCTCACACGATTCGTGGCCATAGGGGGAGCACCACCGATTGCGGTGCCACAGGGCGGTACTTACAACTGCATATGGTTGGGTCCTTCGCCAGGACAACTTTTTGGGGAGGGAGGGGACTGGAGAACAACAGCGAAGCTCCGATGGACAAACCGCGATTCAGTCGCTGCTTGCCGCTGGTGCTGGCCGGGGCGGACAAATCCTGACCGAGGAGGTCGGCTACTGCTTTGTCGCAGCGATGTGGGACGCGACGCATTCGGGCAGGGAGTCTGGATGCACGCAAGAGTCGGGGCCGGGGGGGTCCTCTGGGGACGCGCGCTCAAAAGCGGGAGTTTTCTTTTTCGGGGCGCGTCTTTAAACTTCAGGAGGTTTCGGAGATCGCCCGTGGGGTCTCGGAAGACGCCGCCGCGCGGCTTCTGAACTCCTCGGGGGACCTCAGATCGGAGCAAGGCGAGGTGAGAGACACGGCAGCTCAAGATCGGTGACCGGATCACTCTGAAGGGGCCCTGGGACACACAAATAAATGCACACAAATGAAATAATTCCCCATATTTTCCCATATGTTCTGGGTTCTTGTCTTCCCCCCCACTTCCCATATTTCCCCATATTTTCTGGGAAATCGACGATTAATTGTGTCTGTGTGTTTTTTCCACTCCTGACACTCCCGAGGCCCGATCGCAGCAGTGGTCCGAGCTGCGCCCAGCCGGGGAGGCGAGCCCCCTCCCCCCCGAAGGCCAGCTGTCTGTGTCTCAACGTGCCCTCCTCCGACCAGAGCCCCTCGGGAGGCCGCCAGAGGTCGCAGGCCTAGAGATCGACACCAACACCAATTTCGGCGGTGTGCCTCCACCGAAGGAAGAAGATCCCGATCTCGGCGATGGTGGTAGC